GGAGGCTCTCCCCTTAGTTCCTGAATTCAGGGTGCCCAGGGAAGTCTGGCCCTCAGAACAGCTGAGCTCCTTCGGGAGCCCCCCCCAAATGCACAAGTCTAACAATGAATTCTGATCCACAAGAAGGGCAAAATCGTGACAGCACCTCGAGTTCTGGTGCCGGGATCAGTGAGAGCTGGAATGGGCCCTAGAGGTCATCGGGGCAATCCGCTCCCTTTTACAGAAGGCCAACGTCACACAGGTAGGACACATTCAAACCCTGGTCCTCCAAATCTCAGTCTAGTGGTCTTTCCACTACACCATCATACAAGGTAAAACCCTTTCTCCCCTTGTACGGTAAAGGCAAAGATAAGAGTCAGAAAACTCTCATAATATACACACACCCGGGGGAGGGAGGAAGAACAGAAAACTAGTAGAAATTTCTTTGGGGATCAGGGGGGAAGCCAGGATGGTCCCCATGCCCCCTCCTCCCCATCCTGCAGGGTCCCTGTCACCTCTGTACAGCAGGAAAATCGCTGGTTCTGGAGGCAGGGAACCAGGGTTCAAATCCTTCCCATCCACTTCACGTTTCTATGACTGCAGACACATCATGTGCCTATAACCTCAGTTTCCTTATTTGTAAAATGGCGAAATTTAACCGAATGGCTTCTGAGGTCCCTTTCAGCTCGAAATCCATGATCTTATGACCTTGGCCAGGGTGACAGGGTGAGGGTGGGGGGTTGGGTGATGTGCACACATAGGATTCAGAACTAGATGAATCATCTAGTTCTCATTTTACAGATAAGGAAATCGAGGCCCAGTGAGGTGAAGGCCATACAGCCTCTTGGCAGGGACAGGAACCCATCGGGGTGATGTCTCCAGTATATCAGGGATGACTTTGAGGTCTTAGTTCCATGCATAAAATAGAAGCCAAAACACTTTGCACTCCCTCCCTGCCTCACAGGTTGGTGAGAGGATCTGATAATGTATGTAAAGTGCTCTCTTATTACATTAGGGGCTCTGGGGGGTGCCTGGTGGGCAGGGGTATTCTTTTCACTCCCCCCCCCTTCCTGGCACAATTCTCCAAGTAACAAGAGAGCTGCAGAAACAGAAGGGAATGCCTGAAAACTGCCAGCTTTTCCCCCCTCCGACTTGGCTGGTGAAAATGTAAATATGCAACAGAGAGATTCCAACTGCTTTGCTCCTGTTTTTACATCTCTCTGCACAGCTCTGGGGGCTGCCTGCCTGCCTGGCGCAGGAGGCAAGTTTGTTTCAAAACTCAGAAAAGCTGCCAGGAAGAAAGGGAATCCAAACAGTGGCCGGGTTGGGGGGGAGCGAGCCACCCGGCCTGGCTTTCCTGGGCCTCGGGAGCTTCTTTTGGGGTAGGCGACTCCCGCTACCTTCAGTTGGAAGATGCAAGCTAGCTCCCAGACAGAAGGGAGAGGAGCTACACAGTATTTATTGACCTGTTAAACTAGGAGATCGTTAGGCTGGGGAAAAAAATGCAAAGTTCTTAGAGACCAGGGCTGGGTTATTTATTTTCCTGTTCATCTTGATTCTTTCCCCCTTTTCCTAATGCTGCTATTCCACAGACTTCTCATCTTTTCCTAGAAATGTGAAGGCTGAAGTTTCACGGAGCTGGGGGGTGGGCAGTGATTACTAACTAGAGGAGGGGAGCTGTCTGCTCTGAAGGCCTCCTGGGGAGGAGGGGTGCTGAGACCAGGGCCAGGGTGCAAGCTGCCCTCTGAGGAAGACCTCTGCTTCCAAGATCTTAGCCCCTTTCCAGCAGACACACACTAGTGAGAAGCCATTGAGCCCCCACTGCCGATCCCCTTCCTTAACTGGCACTACACTGTGCTCTCTGGAAAATCCCTTTTTAAACGTCAAATGTGGCTCTGAAGCTGTCAGCATATTCAGGGGAAGAGGAGACAATGTGGGTCTGGCCACTGGTTTCTGACATGAAGCAAGCATCTCATCAGAGTTCGTGGGGGAACTGGCTGACAAAGGGGTACCTTCGGGTCCCCTTTCTCCCTTCCCCCGTTCGGATCTGTGGCCTACTTAGGTGTCCCTTGGTGGGGACAGGTGGCTGACCCTGCCTTCATTCAAAATTCAAGGAAGATCAAGGTCCCCAGGGTCTCCTAGCCTGGAGAAAGACCCAAGGGCAGAGGTTCCAGAAGTCACCCTAAAGCACTGTGTCACTCCCATGCAAGTGTGAGCTCCTTGAGGGCAGGGATGGCCCGAGTTTAGCCTTTCTTTGTAACCCCAGCACTTAGAACACAGTAGGTGCTTAATAAATGCTTGTTGATTGGAGCTCTATAACAGTCAAAGAACTTGGCTTACACTCCCACTTGATCCACAAGATAACCTGGCAAGGTAGATGCAATGGGCATTATTAGCCTTCATTTTACATATGAGGAAACTGAGGCACAGAGAGGAAGCTTTCCTTCTCCAGTATCTATTATTCCCCAAAGTGGTTTGCTATTATCATGGATGGGCTGAGCAGGTAAGTCTGACTTTGCCTGTTCTCACCCCCCCCAACAAATCTTAAGTCATAGGATAGTAGAACCAGAAGGATCCTTACAAACCACAGCTTCTGAAGTCCCCTCCAGGTCTGGACCAATGAACCCTTAGGCTTACTGAAAGGCACAGGGATAACAGACCGCCTAAGCATCTGAGGCAGGGCTCAAACCCAGGTTTGTTCAGACTCTACAGCTGCCACTGGGTATCCTTCATATAGCAGAAAGGGGATTGGATTTGAACCTGGAAGTCCAACCTGGCTCTGCTTCTTGCTCCCTGTTTGACCTTGGGGTAGAATCCCTTCCTGGGCTTCCAGATTCTCACCAGGAAGGTGGGCAGCTGGCCTCCAAGGTTCCGTCCCCACCACCAAGGGGAAGAGTTTGCATTATTCCTCTCTCTTCCTTCATGCCTCCACCTAGAGCCTGGCCTCAGTCTGACACCCACCAAGCACAGTGGAGAGGTGACTGGGTGAGTGCAGAGGGGGAAAGAGCTGTGGGTTAGGGGACAAGCCCCAGACCTGGGCTCTAATCCTGGTTCTGCCACCAACTAGCCGTGTAACCTTGGGCAAGTCATTTCACCATCCTTGGGCCTGGGAGGGGAGTTCTAGCCTGGCAAGACATGACCTTTAAAGACCCTTCCGGATCTACTATTCTAAGATTAGGGCCTCCCCCTGCACCCCACCCCTCCAAAGAATAAATCAGGTCCAGAATAAGGCACAGACCCCAGCCCCGACACTATTGAAGGATTCCCTATTGGGGAGAAGTCCACTCTGGCACAAGGCCACAGCACTCACTGCTCTGTGAGGCAATCCAGGTTGATCCCTTTTGCCCGTTCCCCACGGCAAAGCCCTAAGCTTAACGTGCCGGGGCGGGGGCTGAGCCTATATCAGTTAAGAGACTGGGGCGCCTGCCCCTTTTTCCCTGCCAAAGCTCTCGGCAGATTTAGGTCAGCTCAGCCTGCTGAGCCCCTAGGCAGTTCTCCCAGGCACGGAAGAAGCCGCTGGAAGGTCAGGGGATGCTCCTTTTCTCCCACCCCCGGTGTTCAGCCAGAGCTCAGCTTTCCAGCCTGCCTCCCTGCCCCCTCGAGGTCGGATCTGTCAAGCTGCGTCGCCCAGGCAACACATTGTGACGTCACAACCGTTGCCTGTGACGTCACACCGCAGCGGAAACCTCAGGAACCTGGATACAATTAGACAAGTCTAGCCCGATCAGGAGGACCAACTTTAATTTAATTTAAAAAACAAAACAAAACCGGGGGGGTAGAATCCGGATGACAGCAGCGCTTGAGCCTGAGACGTTGGGGGTGGTGCATGTAGCCACCTCTTCCCCCTCCCCCCTTTGGGGCTCCTCCCCCTTCTTCCCCCACCAGATGCCAGCCACCTACCCCAGCGCCGTACCTGTGCTGCCTCCCACCTGCATTCCCTCTCTCCCCACGCCCCATTCTGGTTTCACAAGAGCCGGAGCCACTGCTTAACATCAGCACAGATACTGGGGGGGGGGGGAGGAAGGGGGCTGTATCACACCGAGCTTCCTGGCTTGCACCCCCAGCCCGACACACATACTTTGGAAGAGGTGGTAATCTATCTTTCAAGGTTCCAGGATTCCCAGGGACCTTTGTTTGATGGCTAGGGTTGGGGGGGGTGCGCTGGGAAATGCAGCCTCAGCACCTCTCTCTCTCTCTCTCTCTCTCTGTTACAGAATCCCCCCTAGTTCTCTCAGCTTTAATGGCCCTTGCCATTCATTTCCAAAAAAGCTGCGTCGGGCCCCAAGTCCGGGTGTGAGTACAACGATCTCCTCTCCCTCCCCTTGGGACACAGAGAGTGGAGGGGTCGCCCAACCCTGGTGGAGGTGGGGAGCAGGCTGGCAGGAGGGTCACAACCCTTCCATCCAGCTGCAACTGGGGTTCCCCTCGTAAGACCAGGTTGGGAGGAGAGGTCTCTGCCCTGTCCCGGGAAGTTCCCCAGACTCTGAAGGAAGGGAGGCAAATGATTCTCCTCCGGCTGGGTCACCACCAGGCTTGTGCCGCCCCCCCCCATGCCCAAGGCTGTCAGCACCCAGAGTAAGCACACTCTACACCCCCCCCCCGGGGCTCAGAAAGTGGGGGGGCTCCCCACCTGGCTGGTTCCTGCTGGTCTCCGCACCGGCCCCTCCCTCCCTCCTTCTATCTCCCTGGATTTACCGTGTCTGCCCGAGCCGTCGTCGCTGGATGGAGCAGAGCTCAGCGGGGACCAGCTGCTGTCCGGGGCTGAGCCATGAGCCGTGGACGGCTGCACGAGGCAATCCGGGCGGAGGCTTCGGGGCAGCGGCCGCCACGTCGGAAGCGGCTGGCTGCGGGGCACTGAGCACACGCACTCCTGGGGCCGGCCGGCCGCGGGGCTCCGGCTTAGCGGGGGGTGCTCTGGCCTGGGGCTGGGGCGGGGCCGGGGCCGGGGCGCCCCTCCTGGTGGTGTTGCTGCTGCTGCTGCTGCTGCTGCTGCGGGCCGGCCGGCTGCGGGCTCCCGGCTGCATCCCGGCCCGGCCGGCCGGCCGAGGGGCCGCCGCTCTGCCCGCTTCTTCCTCGGGCGCTGCCTGGCCCCGGGCCCAGTCTAGCCGGCGGGGCGGACTTAGTTAGCTCCGCGCCTCCGGGCGGCCGCCGGGGGCTCCCGTCTCCGATGCGGCGCGGCCGGGCCGGCTCATCGGCGCGGCCCGGGCGCCCGGCTCTTTGTTGCTTCCTCCCGGGCCCCGCGGGGGCCGCGGCAGCAGGGCCCGCTCCGGTCTGAGGCGGCTCCGGCAGGCACGCGGGGGGCGCGCGGGAGATGGCCGCGGCAGCGGCGGCGGCTCCGGTTCAGCCGGCGCCCCTCCTCTCTCTCTTCTCCCTCTGGGCCCCGGAGGATGCGGGTGGGGGAGGGGAGGGACGGAGGGAGGAGCAGGAGAGCGGCGGCTCCGAGGCTGCCTGGGGGGCTGGGGGTCCCAGCGAACGCTGCTCCCCGGCTTTCGCTGCTCTGGCGGCTCCTGCGGCTCCTTCGCTCCTCGCAGCGGCAGAAGCGGCGGCGTGCGCCGGGCTCTCACGAGCCCATGGCCCCGGGGGGCGCGCGGGGCTCCCGGCTGGCTCCGCAGCCTCGCACCGCGGGCTCCACGACCCTCGCGGGTGGTCGAGGTCCAGGTTCTCCCGGCCCAGCCCGGCCTGGCTCCGCCGGAGAAGCAGCGAGAGAGCGAGCCAGCCGGCCGGCCGGCCCGCCCACCCTTCCCCCAGTCCCCGACCCAGCTGCTGCGGAGCTAGCAGCCGGCCGGCCTCCGCTCCGCAGCTCCGCTCCCGCCCGACTGACAAGCGCGAGCCCCAGCCGCGGTCGCCGAGGCTCGCCCCCCACCCTCCCCCTCGGGGACAGCCAATCGGCTGCGGCCGAGAGGCGGTTACCAGGGTGACGCGCCGCCGCGTCCAGGGAGGGGCGGGGCCAGGGGCCGCCACGCGTTCTTTTCGCGGCAAAATTCAAAGGCCAGTAGGGCGGCTCTCCAGACCCGACCTCCACACCTCAAGGAAGCCGACGCCACGAGGACTACCACTCCCAAGATGCACTGCGGCCACGCCGGGTCGAGAATGACCAGCACGACGGAGCGAGGCGTCTTGGTATTTGTATTCCGTCTCTTTGGGGCCTTTTTTAAAAAAATTTTTTACTAAACCTCAGAGGATGCCCGGGATCCTACGGCTAGGACTCGGCTGGTTCTCCGGTGTTACCAGCTCTGCAATAGCAGCCTGGATGCCACTATTTCCTGGGTTCTAGTCTCGCTGCTCTGATCTGCCTCAGTTTTTCCTGGCTTGCAAATTGTCTTTCATTTTGTAAAATAGACCGAACGGGGGGTTGTTGGTGAATTTGTTGGTGAATCTCAGGGCAGTGCAAACCTTAACGGGTTTTATAAATAAATTTGAGTAGATCTATTGCCGTTGCTAACTGGAGCGAAGTGCGCGGAGGAAGAGCCGTGAGCACAAAGACCCTATTCTGGCCCCTGGGGCTTGGAGAGATTTTCCCCTCTCCCTGATGGACAAGGAGCAGCTGGGAAACTTACTCAGTCCTCTCCAAGGTCCAGATGTCACCTTGAAGTTCTGCAGCTGAGAGCTCTTCACACACATGATCTCATCCCTTTCACCTCCCTGATGTAATCCTGTCCTATTTTCCTTATACAAAGGAGTATCCTCTTCCCACCCCCAACAGTAAAATTTGTACTGGGATTGTTCTCTCAGACCCCCCCCAAATAATAATGTAAGGTAAACATATAGATTATGATTAATAAATAAACACAACTCATGGGTGGCATGGGCATATATATGTTTATATCTACTTATATATTTATATACCCATGCCACCCATGAGCTGTGTGTGTATGTATGTATGTATACACATATTTGATCTGAGATCTGACCCACCTCTGTAGATAGTAGGAGGGTAGTCCATGCTGGCACTGCAAATAGATTAGCTGCAAGATGGGCTGGCAGGATCTAGGACTGAAGTAGGCCATTTTTCCTATTTCTAGGAAGGGTCTTGACCTAAAATTATGTTTTTCTACCACTCTCAGGTATCTCTAGGAATATTAATCTAGATTCAGAGTGAAAGCTGCTTTCCTGATTACTCTAAAGGGTGACAGTAGCCCACAGCTTTTTGGCCAGCTTAACCCATTCCTACCAAGTACTAGTCACACAAAAGGTCATTCCAAATAGCTAATAAACATCTTTATCAAAGAAAGCAGCAAAAAGAAATCAGAGAAGCTCTACAGATTCTAATATACCAGAGAATACACAAGAGTACATGAACTCTTCAGCTGGGAGCAAGATGAGATCCCAGCTCAAACCAGAAGAATGGTTTCATCAAGGGACAGTCTGCTCAGCATTCCCGAGAACTGCAGGCATTGGAGGACAAGGACAAGAACTGACACTGTCTTCCCCTACCCATCCTGGGCTCCAGTCCACCATTCAAAGGTCCATGCCTCCTCTCTCTCTTGACCTATCTCACCAAGGTCTTCTCTTAAAGTATTTATCCTTCAAACTGAAGTCAGGTCACTCCCCTACTCCCTACTTTGTGCTCTGTAGCAGCTCAGCATTCTCTCAGCCAATTAGGAGTCATGCCACATATACACAGTGCAGGTCAAGGAAATGAACTTCAGGAAAACCATCTTAGGCTTTGTCAGAAGCAGGGATATAATAAAATGATAGAAGGAACCGTGATTTCATCATCTTGGGGAATTCCAAGTGTGGAAATTCATCTAAGTAGATGAATCTAACTTAGATCTAGGATTATAGATCATTTGTGAGAAGGAACCCATTTAGCTCATTGGCTCCCTTGTTTGACAGGTGAAAAGACTTCTGAACCCAGAGGGATTAGATGAATTTCCCAAGATCATACAGGTAGTAAATAAGTGCTAGCAAATTCTTAGCTAGTAAGTACAAAAAAAAAAGTCTTTGTGACAGTGGATAAAAGTACTGGATTTAGAGTCAGGAAGATCTGGGTTCAAATCCTGCCTCTGATACTTAATTCTACTCTATATTTCAAATCCTACTCTGATATTTGCCCACTGACCATGTGCAAGTCAACTTTTAGAGCTCCTCAGTTTTTCCTTGTAACACCCCGGTGAAAAAGGGTAGTATAAGATGAATAAATTAAGCTTAGAAAAGGAAAGTGACTGGCCCAAGATCTCCTGGCTAATAAAGTCTTCTGACTAAGCCTTCTCTGATTGACTCTGTGGGTTTGGGTGGCTTGTGGTTATCTGCATTTCTCACCTGGCTCTGCTCCAATTCTCATCCCCCAGGATTAGTGTGACACATATCTCTGTGATATGGTGATTGGTTCAGGTGCTGTCCATGGTCTCAAAACAGAGCTGAGCTATTTGACCAATTTAGGAGCCCAAAGAGCTCCTCTGGCCTCTAGCATTTATGCTTTAACTAACTGAGCTCAGGAGCCCATAGACTCCAGCCCAGGAGGTAAACTAGGAGCAAAGACGATTCTTTCCACTTTACATATAGGAGACGGAGGCCCAGAGAGGTTAGATGATGCTATGGGTCACACAGCAAATCAATAGGGAAGCTGGGATAAAAACAATTCACTTTCTTGCCACTGTCTTTCACTGCTGGTGAAGGTCCCACTCTTTGATACTGGAGGCCATGATTTTGTCTTCATTTTCAGGTCCTTCCTTGAAAGATCTACCTCACAGGGTTGTTATGAGAATCAAATGAGATAACATGTAAAACACTCTACAAACCTTAAAGTGCTTTTGAATGAGAGCTATTATTTATTAAAAACTGAAACTTACATTCACTGTCTATCAATAGGGCTAGGGACAGAGGTCTAATGGTAAATATTTAACAAGTAGCTGTCCAAAAAATGGAACTGCACATTTTTGTCAGCATTAATAACATTTTCTCCACTTTCTTAAGACTAGACAATCAACAAAACAATATTGCAGCTTTTCCAGGGGTAAATGCTCCCACTGAAAATTTCACAATTGGTTCCTGTTAGAGCTGGTTCCAAGCACAGTCCTGGGTAGGGGAGAGATGATTGTGGGCAGGTTAGGAGAAGGAGAAAGTAGCAAGATGAGGGAGGAGGTAAAGAATGAAAGAAAATGGACAGAATTGGGACTTGGGTAGGTAAGACAAACAGTCACATTTAGAGACAGTTGAGGTGTTTGTGTTTAATGCAATTTCTTAGAAATGCACATTTTAAGTGCCAGAAAATTCTACTCTCCATGACCTGAAGTTATTTATTTCAGGATGTCAACCTACATATGACTCAAAGACTCAAAGTCTTTGATGGATGATATACAAGAAGTAGTGGAAATTTCAAATCTTGATTTCCTGGTTACATAGATGCCTTGTCCTGACACTGAAACTGAGATTTGGACAGGGCTGACAAGATCTTAGATCATATAATATCAGAATTGAAGGACAGGGATCTTAGAGATCAAAGGATTTAGAGCTGGAAAGGGCTTTTGAGACCAGCTGGTACAAACCTTTCATTTTATAGATGGCGAAACTGAGGCTTGGGGAGAAATGACTTGCCACAGAAGTGGCCAATTGAAGAACAAAGCTGAGAGTCCAGTTTCCAGAATTCCTGGCCAGTGCCCTTTCTCTTTCATCATCTGAATAATAATGCTACTTTGCACTTATTACAGAACTGCTTTCAAAATGTTTGCAAGTCTACTATTTCCTTTAATTGGCCTGTCAGGGTGGGTAGAGCAGGGGTTAGTGTGCAGTGACAGATAGAGCCCTGGAGACATGGGTCTGGAGGTGTCTTGGTTCTAATGCTTACCAACTATATGACATGTTGGGGGCCCAGTATCAGACAGTCTCATCGAGCATTTATTAAGCACCAAGTATGTGCTTAAGCACTAGGGAGACACAGACAAGAAAATGATTGCTGCCCTCAAGCTGCTCACATTCTAATGGAGGCTACATGCAAAAAAACCCACATATTCAAGATATATACAGTATAAATATTAGATAATATCAGAGAGAAGGCACTGCAGAGAAGGTGGGAGGTCAGGGAAAGGCATCCTGCAGAAGAAAGTGGGATTTGAGTTGAGTTTTGAAGGCAGGGAAGTGAGAAGGCAAAGTGAGGAGGGACAGAATTCCAGGCATGGGAGAAAGCCAGTGAAAAGGCATAGAACTGGGGGATATAGTACAATATGAGAACAGCAAATAGGCTGGTCAGTGTAACTAGATTGGAGAGTATACACAGGGGAGTAAATTATAAGAAGCAAGAAGACTAGAAAGGTAGGAAGATATCATTCTGAAGGGCTTTAAATGCCAAATAAAGGATTTCATATTTGATCTTGGAGCTGATAGGGAGCCTCTGGAGTTTAATGAGTAGGGTGGTGAAGTCAAACCTTTAGGGAACTCACCTTGGAAGGGAAGTGGAGGAAGAGAATGGGATATCTATTAGAAAGTTATTGCAATAGTCCAGACTATGTGAGTGGGGAGGAAGGGTGTATGCCAGACATGTTGTGAAGGAGGAGGCAGAAACAAGCCTTGGCAACAGATTAGAATTCAAGAGATGAATTGAGGATGAGACAGAGGCTGTGAGCCTCTGGGTGACTTCAAGGATGGTGGTGCCTTCAACAGAAATAGGGAAATTTGGAAGAAGGAAGGATTTGGTGGGGTGTGGAGATAATAAGTTCAGTTTTGAACAGGTTGAGCTCAAGATGCCTAAGGAACACCATCAGTCAGACATTGTACATCATTAGTCCAATAGGCAGTTGAAGATCCAAGATTGGAGGTCAGGAGAGAGGTTAGGGCTGGATAGGCAGACCTGAGACTCAGTAGCATAGAGATGATAATTGAACCCATGAGAACTGGCTTCCCTGGATTCCTTCAAGTCTCAGCTACAATCCCACCTTCTGCAAGAAGCCTTTCCCAAACCCTTTTAACTCTGATGTCTTCCCTCTGTCAATGATGCCTGATTTAGTCTGTATATGTCTTGTTTGTACATCTTGGCTGCCCCACTAGATTATAGCTCCTTGAAGGCAGGGACCATGTTTTTGCCTTTAAAAAAAAAATCCCCAGCCCTTACTACAGTGCCTCAAACATAGTAGACTACTAATAAATGCTTACTGACTTGAATTCACCCACAGAGAATGTTTAGGGGGAAATGAGAAAGAAGAGGGCCCAGGATACTCAAGGGTGTGTTACAGTGAGTGCCCCTGAGAGCTGATTATTCCGTTTTTAGTGCGAGCACTTATACCTTGGAAGTTGGCCAATTCGATAAATCAGGGCTGGATTTATCGTTTTGTTGATAAACTTAAATGATGGAGAAATTTTTAAAAGTGTCTTGTTCATATATATATACATATATATATATATTTGGAGAGCCGGTAGTTAAATATTTAACAGCACAGTTCTGGGACCCTATAGTTAATGACCTTGATCTGAAGATCCACCAAAGGAGGGAGAGAAGGAGTGGTCAGGCAGTTAGGAGGAGAACCAGGAGAGAGCAGTGTCACTAAAACCCAGAGAGGAGAGAGGATTCAGGAGAAGGAGGTAATTCATAATGTTGGAGGCTGCAGAGAACTCATGGATAAGGACTGAGATAAGGTCATTAGATTTGGCAACACCCTGTTGGAATTTTTTTTGTTACAGATCTGGGGTTTCACGCATGTAGGGAATTCCTCGTGAGGAAGCCCCTTCCCACCCCCAATCAATGCAGAACTGCAACTGTTTGTGACTTAGAAAAGTGTCCAGAGTCCTAAGAAACTGTGACTTACCCAAGGTGTGTCTCACAACCAGTAGGTGTCAAAAGTGGGACTTGAACTCGGGTCTTCCTGACTCAGAGTCATGATGTGCTAGGTATTGGGAGGGGGAACAAAAATGCTTTTGTCTCTACATTCTATCTCCTTTTAAGGGAAGAGATTCACCTTCTTAGGACAGTTGAAAGTAAGGTCCAGTGTAAAGAACACTGGTCCAGGATCCTAAGGTTATAAGGGACCATCTTCTTGAATTAACAGATTTAGAGCTAGAAGGGACCTTAGAAGCCATGTGCTTCAGCCCTCCTCCTTATATGACAGAGGGGGAAACTGAGGCCCAGAGAAATTAAACGCCTTGCTCCATCACCCAGACAGAACCAGGATTCGAACCCAGATCTTCTGACTCCAGTACCCTTTCTATTACACCACATTGCTTTTTGGCTTCACTGCTCCCAGAATCTGTGTGTGATCTGTTTTGGTATGGTGTGTTTTGTTTCTGCCATGATTCCTCAATAACTTTAGGAGAAGGTCCTGCGGCTGAAAAATCCATCTACCTGGTGCTAAGTCTCCCATATAGGACACATCTGCATTTATTTAGGGCAGAAACTGCCCTTGTTTCAGGTCAGTGCTGAGATGGTTTGAGTCTCCCCTCCTGGGAAAAGTGCTGAGCTGAGATTCCCTAGAACCTTTTAGTTTCTCTCTCTTTCTTTCCTTGCTCTATTTCCCCCCATCCAGCCCCTTGGGGGATATTTACCTGGAAACAGGATCTGTCTCTGCCTCAGGAGCTCAGCTCCTCCAGCTGCCTCCTCTCTTCCCCTCCCCTCCAGCCTCTGCATGTGACATCACAAGTGGTTGCTGTGGAGATGAGTGTGATGTGGAACGTGGGGGATTCTGACAGGTGGGGAGTAAGCAGCAGCAGGTGAGCATGTGACCTGAGCCCAGGCAGGGGCGGGGAGGGAGGGCAGGCACTCTAGCTACCCAGATGGCCCTGGCAGAAGGGAAATGAAGGGAATCTGGAAAGAGAGAGATGGTGGCTAGAGAGGTCACTGGCCAGCTTTCCCAAAGGATTCTGGGAAACCTACAGCTGGGCTGATCTGGGATTTCTGAGCAGGTCAGTGCTTCAGGTGCTACTTAGAGCATAGACAGAATATTTGATCTGCAAGGGACCTTAGAAGATGGAATGTCACAGCTAGGTGGGGTTGGGGGTGGGGAGGAACCTTAGAACAGAGAATGCCAGAAATGAGGGGGGCCTTAGAACAGAGAATAGTCAGAGCTGGAAGGATCTTAAAATAGAGAAACTCAGAGCTGGAAAGGACCTTAGTACAGAGAGATTTTTGACCTGGCAGGGACAGATTGTCTGAGCTGGGAGGAGGGATCATTCTGCTTTCTGGAATCCTGATGGACAAGGAGAAAAAAATATCACCACTACTATAACGCCACTTTAACCTTTCCCCTTCTCAAGTTAAATATCAAAAATCATTGATTGAGGACCATTTAATCAATTCCTGTGTTGGGTATAAGAGAGAACACTCTAATGCAGACCATTGGGGGTCACTTGCACACAGAGAGACTGTATCCACAAGGAACAGACATACACTATGTGCTGGGCATCTGGCCCTTCCTCCTCTGGGCCTGGGACTGGGCTGCTTTTCATCCTACTATCTCCATGGCAGAGCATAGGAATCTGCACCCAGTGGGTGATGAGAGCTAAACCTTTGTTGAACTAGGTTGAATCCACACAGAGACACACCCATATGCAAATCCACTCAGAGATGCATAGACACATAGAAACACACACACACACACACACAGACACTCAGAACAGATCCTTGAGGTCACTGCAAGAGAGAGGAAGCAGGTCACCGGCTGATCCCGAGGCCAAAGGCTCCTCTGGTTTCCTGCCAACATCTTCCTTCCTCTTTCTCCCCAGTCCCCCGCCTTCCTCTCCCCCTCATCTCCTGTGCCTGCCCCAGGCTCTGAACTAGCCGGCTGGTCTATCTCCCCGGCCTATAACTCAGCATTAGGAGGGAGACATGTCAAGATGGATTTGCTACGGTTGGTTGGGGGAAACTTCCAGCCTAGGAGGGAAGGAGCTGTCCTGTTTGCTCAGGATGGAGGGCAAGGGGATCAAGGCGGGGATGGGGTGGGGTGGGGGGTGGTGTTGGGGTGGTCTCAGAAAGGCACTGTGGCACTTTGGAAAGAGCTTGGGTTCGATCCCAGCATTTTGCCTTAGTGACCTTGGGCAAGTCAACCTCTCTGGGTCTCAGCTTCTGTAAAATGATAAGGTTGGACTCAGTGACCCTCAGGTCTCTTTAAAGCCACTCTCAGAGAATCATTAAAAGTTAGAGCCCAAAGGCACCTGATGAGAGGTCCCTGTCCCAGCACTTTCGGGCCTTCAAGTCTTGAATGTGTCCTTGACTAAGTTATTCCACTTTCTTGGGCCTCAGTTTCTCTATCTGCAAAAATGAGGGGGGTGTATTGGATGGCCTCTTGACGGCCCTTACAGCTCTAGATTTATGATTTTAATATCCCTGATGGAGTGAGAGAAGAGAGGAAATGTCTTGGAGGGCTGAGGGTTGGGGAGGGGATGGACGGTGGTGGTCTGAGGGCATGTCTCTGTTCCTTGAGCCTCAGGCTCCATCCAGACCTTATGGAGAGCCCAGAGGGCAATCAGGGGGCTGGGGGGGGGGTAGGTGGGACCAGAACTAAGATGTGCCATTTTCCCCTGCTCCCCACTGCATTAGGAATTTTGAGGCCAGGCACCAGGCCCTTCCAGGAGTGGTCCCAGCAGGTCTCAGAACTTCAGCCAGTTCTGGGGCACTCAGTCCCCATGTTCTACCCTGCCCTTCTCCTCACATCCTTCCCCTCGTTGAAGGCCAAGAGACTATTTTTCCCCTGCCCTCCTTGCCACAATCTAGGCCAGAGATGAGAAGATTTTTCCCATTGGTGAGCAGCACTTAGATTTTTCCGAGATAATTTAATCAGGGCTATTAATAAGCAGGAAAGAAAGAGCTCTTTATATTCTTCGGGGAACACACACACACACACACACACACACACACACACACACACCCATAACATCATTATTCACCAAGGGAAGCCCCCCACCTGTGCTACCTTGAAATACTCCTGGGGCCTTTGATGGGGGAAGGAAAAGAATAGGGCTGAGGAGGAGGGGCTCAGAGTGGGGGAAGGGGTGAGCTGTGGGTAGAGGGAGGGCAGTAAGGGAAATGGGAAAGACTGAGAAAGGGAAAACTGATCCTAGCCTCACCACACACACACACACACACACACACACACACACACACACACGTCCTAGAATCATAGACCCCCTAGGACAGAAGGGGCCGTGGAGATCAACATCTTCAGTTTGTAGCTAGGGGAAACTGAGGCCCAGGTTTGGAAAAAATACAAAAGACTCACTGTCTCCTCTACCCATCCCCAAGCTCAGTGCACACAGGCAGTGCATTATAGTGCACCCCCTCAGGAGCCAAAGGACCTGGGTTTGAAACTCGCTCCTGCCTAGGTGACCTTGGACAAGTCACTTTCCCTCTGGGACTTGCAAGCCCAGGGCTCAGATCCCATCTCTAATAATTATTTACTTGGACGATATTGAACAAATCACTGAACTTTCCTGGGCCTCAGTTTCCTCAACTGTAAAATGAGGTGACCTCTAAGATCTTGTCTAACTATAGGTCTCTGAGGCTGCTGTAATCCTCTCAACTCCAAACCTTTGGTTCTAGGCAATATCTAGACACCTACAGTCCTGCCTGAAGACAGAGGGATGGCTCCCATGATCCCAGCTGCTTTGTTTCCTGAGATTCTCTTTGTGGTTGTTTTGACAGCAGGACCCAGCATACCAGGGCTTCAAGGAGCTTTGCAGGGATTAAGGTGGTGGAAAGACAGACAGCCCCCCCCCATCCCCCCTTCCTCAGACTGGCTGCCCCAGGTCTCCCTTTATAGGAAAAGTTATTGACTTATCAGGGTTGGAATACATTCAGCCACACTCAGGCTTGTCATTTGTAGGGTTGTCTTCATGGCAACGGGGCCCCCTCCTGCACGTTAAATGGCTCAGTTGTGCAAAGTTCAGGCATTACATAAACACCGAGTTAACAAATGGCAGCAGAAATCAATGGCTACCCGAGCATGGCCCAGAGAGATAGCATTGATTGGCCCCTGCCATCGATAGTCTGGATCACAGCTTCCTGCAGGACCGACGAAGGCTGCCTGCCTTCCCATCCTGCCCCAAGCCCAGCTGCCACTCAGACCCGAAACAGAGGGTGCCCCTGGAAGGGCGGCGCCACCAGCCCAGGCTGGGGCTCGGCCACCGCCCCAGAACACGCCTCCCTTCTGAGTACACTGGGCACGGCCAGCCAGTCCAGTATCTTCCAGCAGGGACCCTCGAAATTGATTTGGGTTTCAAGCCCTGGTCACAATAGACGGCTGCTCAGGCACTCACTGACACCTCCCCCTCCTTCCAATTCTTGCTCCCCTTATACATACACAGAGGTCTAGGAGTTTTTTCCTTAGGGAAGGGTGAGCTAACAAGTCAAGATTACTATCTAAAAGAATTAGACAGACTTCTTATGTCTGGGTCAATAGCCCAGAGGCAGGAGAACGAATGAGATGGATTGGAGGCAGGGGGATGGACCAGATGTAAGGGGATGGATGAGATAGACCAGAAGCAAAGGAACACACATGTGAGATGACCACAGGGTAGGCAAGCCAGCCCAGCTGAATCAGCAAGGCACCCTGAGGGAGAGACAGGAAGCAGCACGTGAGGAGTCAAGCCATCCCCACCATCTCCATCATGACCGCCACTCAACTCTGGTTGGAGACAGTTCAGAACCCTGCATCTAGAGAATAGCAGAGCCCTTCCTCCCCCACACTCCTTGAAACCCCAGCAAGCTGGGCCCTGCTGTCAAAACAACCACAAAGAGAATCTTAGGAAAGAAAGCAGCCAAGGTCATGGGAGCCATCCCCCTGCCTTCAGGCAGGACTATAAATGAGGTGCCTAGATACCGAATCGTAGATTTGGAGCTGGGGGGATTACAGCAGCCTCAGAGACCTATAGTTAGAAGGGATCTTAGAGATCGCCTCATTTTACAGCGAAAATGAGGCCCCAGGAGCTTAGGTAATTCCCCCAAGATCACATAAGTCAGCCCAGCCCCTGAAGCTGTCATTCCCATCCTGCAGATCACCCCTTACGTAGATGTGACCTGATGGGTGTCTCTGCAAGTATTTTAGTAGCCACAGCTACTGAGGATCCAGAAAGGGAGCTCTCACCACCCACCAAAGTCCTTGGCATTATCATATGGTCCAACATCAGTATGGTTCTATCAGTGAGAATGATGCTATCTGCTTTGTAGCTGTACCCTCCCAGCCACAGGATACCTTTCTATCTGATGGGCAGCTGAAGCCTCTCATATGGGTGGTCTCCCTCTGCCCCCCATTAGAGTGTGAGTTTCTTGAGATTAGGGACTGTCTTCTTTTTCTATTTGGATGTCCAACCTTCAGCACATAGTATGTGTTTAATAAATGCTTTTTAAATGAATTGATATATAATAGATGAATTAATATATGAATGAAACTCATTCATTCATATTGGGCTTTGAGGTCTCTGAGATCCACCTAAGCCCTCCTCTAGGATAGACTCATAGGATCATGGGATGTGGAGGGCACCATTTTACAGATGAAGGAACAAAGTCTGGGAAAGAGGAAAATCTTGGTTGCCCAAGGTCAAACAGGAAGTAAGAAGCAACACTGTGACTCCCCCCTCCTCCCCTGGTTTTAGAAATTAAATCCAGGTTTTATCTATTTAT